CTTTTCCAACGCATTTTTTTTTAGCCTGTAGCCTTAGATATTCGGCGCCTCTAGACAATGATGTTATCTCCTGTCCCCTTAAAAAATTAAATTAATTTCTTAAGTTGTTTTATATTATGCAGTGTTTGAATTTTGTTTCTTTCAATATTTCTCTAATATAGTTGCTTTATTAATAGGCTAAAATTAATTATTTTATTATACTTTGTTTTTAATTTCTTACAAGTGGCGAGCACTTCTGAAGATGGGCGCCACCGACGGGCCCCCCTCTAGGCAATTGTCCCGGTTGCTCTACCCAAGGCCAGGACTGACCCTGGTTATCCAAAACTTCAGTTTCACATTTGTAAGGAAATATAACCAGGTTCTAAAAATCACTGGTATTTCTTTTATATTGTTTTGAAAACTTTTACAACCACATTTATGAGACATTATTATCAAACACTTTTGCTTTTTCTATCCAAAATCCTTTATGGGTTGTAGTGGTGCAGGTTTTTTTCCTTTAGCTTTTATGCTCATTACATTTTAAATATTGCCACATGATTGAAAAATGCACTAGTTTCAGGAAAATGTTTCTCCACTAATTTAGGTAGTAATCCTTGATTTTTTTTTTTCACTTTTCTTATAATGCCCATTTCTGAGATATATTAAATCTATAAACATCTTAGTTATTATTTTTTTTTTCTAGCATACTTATTTTTCCTAAAAGAGGTAAATTTTAGTTTGGCCTTAAAATTAAAGAGAAATGAATGAACAAAAATAAGACAAATTTGAATGAAATTATAATTGAAGATCTAGATACAAGAATCAGGAAGTCTGGACTCCTAAATTTAGGCAAGAGTCATAGGAAATTAAATAAAACCCAAAGTAAATGTACAATTAGGCTTTGAATAAATCAGCAAATCCAGAGAATCTAGTTTTCGTTTTAAAGGTAGTTTCGATTCATTAACATTTTTGTAAAAGTAACTCTAGAAACATACTTGTTTTTTCCACCTACACATAACAGATTTTTTGTTGGCCGATGATATAGTCTTTCCTACATTATTTATCAAATAGGAGAGCACTGACGTTGCATTTGTTTTAGCTCCAACCAAAACAATGTATATATATGTATATAATGAATGTATGTCTGTCTGTTTGTCCTTTGTGCATTACTAAATCATTCATCCGATCGCCATGAAACTTTAGGAAGTTGTTCCGTACACTCCTGGGAAGGTTTCTGGCATAGCATTTCTCTCTTACGATAATTTTATATATGTAAAAAAAATAAAAATGTAAATGTTTTTCTGTTCAAAGCCGCAAAAAAATGTGTCGCTATAAACTGTAGTGCCAAAAATATTTTTTTTAAAGGTCATTGTAAAGTATACAACAATTTTTTGAGGAAACTGATTAAATTTACTAAGGTCAATGATTAAGGGGACTTTCAAAAGGTCTAATATGGCTACTGTACAGAGATATGCTGCTCTGGTATGGGTAATGTAACTGCAGCAGTACAGATGCCATATTGGGCTTTCTGGATGTTCACTTTATCATTAACCTAAAGAAAATCTAATCGCTGTTTTCTTAAAAAAAGTTTGTTTTCTTTATGATGGTGTACTTAGAATTTAATTATCTTGAACAGTTTATGAGCAATGCCTTCTTATTCAATAAAAAATGTGACCACCTTAAGAAAAACACAAAATTGGTCCTAACTCCTTTTCTGATTGAAATCAGTCAATGCATCAAATGAAATTTTTTTTTAAGGAATTTTGTCTAGAATCATCCCCTCGAGTTTGGCTATTAAGAAGACAGTCTGTACAGTAATATTTCTAAATATATTGATTTCCTTCTGAAATTCTTATAAATAGAAATATATATTAACCATACATATCAAATATATTGAATACGCTTAAAGTGGAAATTTAATCAAGGATGATTTCCACGTATTACATTTATGTCTTTCAAATTATAATCTAATAAGATAACTCTACATTTTATTAAATATTGTTCACTTTTATTTAATATTATAAACAAAAAAAAATTATTACAATTATATCCTTTAAGATTTATGTTTTTTAATGTTTAGTTGAATCTGAAGTGAACATCTGATACAACAAAGTTGCAGCAAGGATAGGATTATAGAAATGGTTAATCGTATTATTACTTCAGATAAGAAATTATATTATTATTTAGCACTTAGCAAAGCATTTTCTTAGCAATATTATCTCTATTGCTGTATTCTAACACATGGATCATTTACTACGAAATGTTAAACAACTATACATTCCTTTTACACAAGAATGCCTGTAATTTTATACTATCTATAACTCAATTATTTTATGGCTTTTGGCACAGTAGTTATAGATAACAGCTTAGAATGTCAGTTTTCTAATTTTGTGTAAAGATTTGGTTTTATTTCTAGATTTTTATATTCATACAAATTTATTGCTCTCTTTTAATACATTTTTGTTTTCATTATTTTGTTAATGAATAATTTTACTTATCTCTATTTTAATATCTTACTTGCAAAGTCTTGTACTCTTCATAAAAATGTTGGTAAGTGCTTTAACTTGTTTGCGTAGCTTTTTATACAACAAAAGTTAAATTGTTTAATTTATAAATACAGAATAAATCGTTGTGAAGGTCACGAACATGTCTTTTTTTATTCTGTTCATTACACCTAGATTCTTGAGGTTTTCATTTTTATAAAGTAACAGTTTTAATTAGGACAGTTTTGATTGTTCTCAGAGAAATGAAAATGACAATGAATACTGGAAATATAGTGGGGGACACAATTAAGACTTGAAAATGGCCCTAGTGTAGGTCGAAAAGTCGAGATAAAATAAAAAATTAATAAAATTTTGATGGAATAACGGCATTTTTTTTTAGAATATAATATATATTATAATTATGTTGGTCTAAATATATGAAGTTAAAGGTGTTGAAATAATACATTATGAATACATTTATAAATACTCTTTTAAACATAAAACAATATAATAAATCCATAATTCATAAATTTTGCTTTCATGAAAATTTAAAAAATTCATTAAAACATGATGAGAAATTAGTATTATATGAAAATAAATAACTGAGTCATTTTAAAAATAAAAATATTATAATAAATATTTGAATTTTTAGTTTAGTAGCAAAATAACATAAATCAGAACTGTTTTTTTTTTTTAATTATTTGTTTGGTAATTTTCTGTTATATAGAGTTCCTGTGCAAGAGGGGTTTATTTATGAAGCTATTACTAGTTCATGCAACATAGTATAATTTTTGATTCAGGGTTTACAATTTTATGATAGTATATTTTTTTTTTCAATTTTGAAACACAAAAACACAAAACATCAAAAAAAGAGAAAATAAAAAAAATAAATAAATAAATAAAATAAAGAATATAATTTACAACAAACCAAACATTTTTATAAAAATGAACATAGAAAAAATCATAATAGTAAAAAGAAATCTATATTAAATTATAATTAAGAAAATCAAATGTAAGCAATAATCATAAGAATAGAAACAAATAAAATAATTTACAAATGAAGATAAGTTCAGAATTGGATTATATCTGTACCATAAAAAATACAAACTGGCCAATGCCCTAAATTTTAAAATTCGAATGAGCATTGAAAAAAAAGAGATAAAAAAGAAGAAGAATATTAAGAAGAAAAAATAGAGAGTGATATCTTGATTGTTTAAGGGTTTAATGTCCTCTCATTATTGGTTAGTCCTGAAAGCCAATAATTGGAGATCATTTACTCTTTTAACAATTAATATATTATGGATTTATTCCAGTCATTAAGTAGCATTTCATAAAATTAAATCATTGAGTATTTTTACAAATATTTTCTTAATACAAATCAGAATATGGTGTACTTAGTGAAACTATACTTGATATATGAAAGAGTTTGTATAATTTTCATGCATATGTAATATTTTTGTATCGATAAATAATGTTGAAGTTTACAAAAGCCTAATTAAATGTTTAACTCCAAATGTTTAATTAAATGTTTTAAAAAATTTACTTAGAGGCTTTTGGAAATGAACTGATGACAAATTGACTGTGATTTTGTCATGTAGTTCATTCACCTTTACAAGATTCGGGCATAGGCTTAATTATTTGTAAGGTACAGAATTATACTAATACAGTATCTAGTCTGAATCGCATAAAATAACTTATATGTGGAGAGAAAAAAAAATGAAAAAAATTGATTGCATTAATTATTTAAACCTTTTAAATAAATAAATATCTTATTGCGAAAAATCAGTATTTATGCAAGTACTTGGATAAATTTAATTAAAAAGCCTTTCATATAATTTAGCAGCTCTTAACTATCAATATCTCTAGATGAAATATTTAATAACAAACATTTTTTATACAACCTTTTTAATTAAATCATATATATTAAATAAATTATGATTCTCTTTGTAGTTTAAAAATTTATATATATATATATATATTATTTGAATTTTTGTAATTATTTATTTAACACTTTTATGTATATATATATATATATATATATATATATATATATATATATATATAATTAATGTATTATTTACGAAATAGAAAAACAATAAATATATTTAACTTAAAAGTATTAGAAGTTCTTCTTCAATGAACTTGAGAAAATGTGGATCATGGATGTGGAGGGAGTAGGAGTGTCTAGTGCTGCACTCTTTCGAAGAAGCTGGCAGTCTGCGACTGACAACAACTATTCAAAACATTATCCCCCATACCTCTGAGCCGTGAGGATCCAAGCGCAGGTTATTTTCGTACTAAATTTAAATAGTCGAGTGTCGCATATCAGATAACAGTGCCAGATCCGTTCTTTTATACCATATTCTATAGTGTTTTGTGTTGAAGAAAATAAATATATTTCCTATTTAGTGAATCATGTGACGAATGTTTCAATTCACCGTTTCAAGGAGTGATACAGATTGGATTAGTAAAAGTTTAAATTTGTTAGAGAAGATGGGTTTTTCGACTCATCTTCAAAGCAAAGATGCTCACGAGGCGATGCTATCCCGCCAGGACGCCGAACTTCGCCTCCTCGAGACGATGAGGAGGTGTATAACGAACAAAGTCAAATGCGACAAGGATTACTCTTTGGCGCTATCAGCCATCTCCGTCCAGGGGCAGAAGGTGGACAGGTCGGAGGACATGATCGGGAGTCTTGTTTCTTCGGCCTGGCGGGGTATGATGGAGGAACTCGAGAACGCCGCTAGGCTGGTCAAAACGAACGCCGAAATCGTCGAAAAGGAAACTCTGGAGAAGCTGAACCTTCTTTGCCAGGAGAAGAGGAAGGCGAAGAAGCAGTACCTTGAGGAGTACACTAGGATAACCCAGCAGTTTACCAATGTGAGTAGCCGACGTTTATATATTGTTAGAATTATTCAAACTATATCTAAAAATGCTTACTCCATGTATATGTTAGTGACTAATATTCCATATTATATTCTATCAGTCACACACAATTTGATTTTTTTTTTCTTTTTTACTAGTTAAAAAAAATTGTTATATTTAGAGGAATGGTTCAATAAGATAATAAAGAGCATAAAATAAATTAGAAATATATTAATTACGACTTTTACAACGATTTAGAAACATTCTACTACAAAACAGATTTAATGTCTTACAATCTATTATGTCTGAAGAAGAAGAAAAAAAATAGCACAAATAAATATTGATAAGTCAATCTTGTTATCTCTGCAATCGTAAATGGCTTCAATGTCATTGTCTCACAGAGCCAGTACGCTCCTTAAATTAGAATCAAGTGGGCAGTGTTGACGGACATTTTCTAAGTACATAATTTAGTTTCTAGAAATATCTGAAGTGCAGTGACATCCTTCTGCAATTGCACGTTATGCACTTTTTTTCATTATGATATCTATGTGACGTGCTAAATCGTTTAGAATATTTATTTTAAATGTTTGGATACGTATACTCTGTGCCAATCAAATCAATATTTCAGTTTTAATTTAAAATCTCTTGACTATGCCCTTTGTCCGGGTTATTATTGGTATTCGTAATCTGAATTCTGCACTTCACTTTTTATTATTAAGAGCCATTAAAGAATAAAGAAGCTTTAGTTAATGCTAATAAGTGGAAAGATAAGATTCAAATCATCCTTTCTTTGTTGGGTGTTACTAAAAGTACCCAACTGAGTGATAGGAGTGATTAAAAGATCCACAATAGAAATAACCATTTCTGATTGTAAACAGAACTAGGTCATTCTGTCCTAAAGGAGACTGTGGCACAGAAATACTTCTAGCATTAATAACCTGTTTTATTATAGAAATAAATTTTAAAAAAGTAATCGTTATTTAAGACCAAATAACCGGTTTTAATAGGTAAAGTATTTTTTTGTTGATAATTATTAAGATGAAGTAATTAAATTAATGTTGAACCACTGAGGTATAAATATGCATAAACTGGCCAAGTTTAGTGATATTAATTCCTTTGTATTCAGGATTTATTTTCATTCCTACCATACCGATGATAATAAGCTTGACCATAGACTTAACAAACAATGATTGTTAAATACTACTATATTTAAATTTTAGTTTTAAATCAATCTTTAATTTTTTGTTAATAATAAATCTCAATCACGTAAGTTCGTGCCTATATATATTGTTGTTTAATCATGTATGTTTGGTTTGTTTTTCCTGTATTTTTTAAATACTTCGTTTATTGGTTGTCATCAGTTCAACATGTTATAGCAAAATTCATTACGTATTGATATAATATTTTCCCCAAGATATAAGCTGAAGATCTCGTATCAGTATACAATAAATTATTTTAATAATTATTTAGAACCTTTTTTAGTCGTGTCGGCTAAATTTATCTAAAACTTATAACAGAGAATAGATTAGATCTCTATTCACAAACAAGGTATATAAATGGAATTTGAGCTCAGTCTCCGTTGAAGTTCATTTAAAATTTTAATGAATTTCTGTAGTGATGGTGATTTTATTTTTTAAATTAATCTTATTGGTGCCCGAAACTTAAGATTTAATAATAAATAACTGTACTTTATAAATTATGAAATGTCATGTATTACTGATTATACAGTATTGCTACTTCGTGTCACATGATTGTTTAGTACGAGCATTATTGAATACGAATGACGTCATTTATAATCACAAAAGGCCAATACTGTTTACTGATCATTCTTTGGGTATTTTAAAAACGTATTTAGAATCTAGTCATATTGTTTTTTATAAGGTAATTTTTGTTTAAATTGGTATGTCTAATTTTTATTAAAAAAAAAAAAATTAAATGTATTGATGAAATTCATTACAATATTTAAATAAATTATTTTCCAGTAGTTTACTAAGGCATTTATAATTGTAATAAATTTTTTTTTATGATTAATGATTATATGGAGGTTTTTTTTTTTGGTTTTCATTATCATTAATTTTGTAGTTTGGATATTTATGGTTTTGTCATTAACCAAAAGGTATTAATGATTTATTGGGTAGGATTAGATTACGAGATATGTTTTGATTTGGGTTTTGACTGCACTTATATTTTTAGTTTTTATTTATCAGTAGACATTTTTTTCTTTATATTTTGTTATTTTCTTTTGATATGTTTTGTTTGGTTGTTATATTGTCATTCCTCAGCCCTGATGAAGACCTGAAACTTTAGCCGAAACATTGGTTTAAAAAAATAATTAGTTTTTATTTACACTTTGATTAGAACCAGGACTTGAAACGGGAAGAAAAACTTTTATTTTTAAAAAGTTTCATTATCATCAAAATTTGTTTTGAAATTGAAAAACAGTCGATAGTTTTTCAGTTATTTCGGAACTTTTTCGGAACTAAATGTTTTTACAGACCTTTTATTTTTTAAAAATTTTGCCCATTTCGCTAAAATGTCTTCGAAAACATTACTTTTATTCAAAGTTACTCAAACAAATGACGCATTAGTATCATCTGTAATTCATTTAAGACAAATTATAACTCTAAAATAAGCCCCAATACTGTTTATTTTTCATTTAACGGAACTCAATAACTTGAATAAATAAAAATTAAATGTTTATAATAAATCTGGAACTTTATTACAAATAAGTTCTAAGGAACTTTTATTTAAATTACTTTTTGGAGTGAAAAAATCTTTAGGCGCGTTTTGCACTTCTTCGTGGAGAGTGAATTAGATTGATATGTCAGATTTCCGAAGTTTAACGCTCCGGTAACGTCAGCTGGAGTCAACTAATTGAAGTGCTTTTGCATATAGATTAATTTACCTCAGAAACTAAAAATCAGACATGCATACTATAAGCGAGGGGGATGTTAAGCATTTCATTCTCTTTGTAATGAGTTATAATTCAAAATTGCATCATAAAGGGACATCGTGTTAGAGAGGCATAAAGGGAGAAAATGGTGATGAAAACCAAAATATAACGAGTTTTACTGAAGATGTGAATTAAAATATTTGAGAAACTAAAAATCGGGCCTGCATACTGTAAGCGAAGGAATTGTCAGGATTTTGTCCTCTCTGTAATGCACGGGCGGATCTACGGGGGGGGGGAGGGGGCTTTCGGGCTGAAGCCCTCCCCAAAATGGAAAAATATAACCATGTTTTATCGAATAAAAAATTTAAAAAGTATCTCTTAAAGTACTGTTATTCTTGTAATTACATTAAAAAAGGCTTTAGGAATAACTTAAACACCATTTCATAGAGGTAGTTAGTTTCTTTCTTTTTTTCCAAAGTAATTATCGTTATTTTTATGGAAAAAAAAACTTTCGGGCTGAAGCCCCTCCCAAAAATAAATCCTGGATCCGCTAGTGCTGTAATGGGCTATTGTTAAAAATTGTATCTTACCGCGACGCCGTGTTAGAGAAGCGAAAAGGGAAAAATAGTGATGAAAACCAAATTATAACGAGTTTTACTGAAGATATGTATTAAAATATTCCAGAAACTAAAAATCGGGCCTCCGTACTGTAAGCGAGGGAATTGTTCTGTAATGAGCTTTTATTTATAATTTATATTTCATATTATTAATTATGCCTTATTGGTGTTTTCACTTATATCGCGTTGTCTGAAACACACACCTTAGTTTTTTCCTATAAAGATTTCAAAGAAACTGATAAAATGGAAGTTTTTAAAAAATACCCATAAAAGGTTCAATCCCTGACTAGAATTCCCAACCAACTCCCCAAATCATATTTCGTTTACAACCAAATGTATCCACTATTAAATAGCATTATTAAATAAAGTTCTATTTTCTATTACTTTATATGACTAAACATAAACTTAATATATTAGGAAGAAAAAGGAAAGAAAAGAAGAACGAATTTTTTTTTTTCGTGTCTTACTAATTGAACGAACGGCCACCTTAACATAGATTAATCTAATCGATCACTACCCCTTTGTACAGCCAGATGTAACATCCTATAGTTGCTAATCCATCGCAGACCTGACGCCTACCGCAGTAATACCGTTATCAAATCGGTGTCTGGATGGTTCACAGGCTGGCAGTCTAACCACCGAACCGCACGGTGTTACCCCCACAAAATTTTAATATATATATTCTGCTGACCACATCCCTGAGGAAGGCAAGGCCTCTAGAATAGTTTGGTGTGACTTGGCCACCCGCGGTTCCTCACAATCTTAATTTGAGTTTTGTGAAGCGGGACGGTGCTCATTTTTACTCAATTGGAATTCGCAAGGCTGAATTAACATACAAAATAATAATAAAAAGGCTTAGCGAACCCGAAGGTTCGATGCTGACACCACCAATCGCTTATTACACACCTCCCTCCACCGTTCGCCACCAAATCCAGTCCCTTCAGATCGGCTTTAATGCAATCTTCCCACCTTCGTCTCGGTCTACCCCTCGGACGCTTACCATTCGTCACAGCAAATATTAACCTTTTAGGAATTCTCTCGTTACTAAGCCCAACAACTTTACAAGCCCATTTGATTCGCCGCGATGAAATTACCTCAATTATATTACCCGGATACAGCTCACGCAATTCGGCGTTGTGTAACCGTCTGAACTCTCCGGTTAACTCATCCTTCTTCGGTCCGAATATTCTACGCAAAACTTTGTTTTCAAAAACCTTAAGACGCTGCTCATCCCTTAATGTAAGCGGCCAAGTTTCGCATCCATAAAGAACTGTAGGCAAGATAATTGTTTTATAGATTCTAATTTTTAAGTTCCGGGACAAGAGGCGCGAACGAAGTAGTTGAATGAACATACAAAATAGTAGTATTAATTATAATAGATTTCATTTGTATTCAACTCAACCCTGTCTCGCTGCTTTCTCTTCTTCCATTGACCCATCTCATTTCCATCATAATTTTTTGAAGAAACGAAAGCCTTGCATTTTCTTTATTAATGCATGTCTACGAAGCAGTGCTCTATTGTTCTTTCGAACGGGGATTAAGAAACGGCATGAGAAATGGCTCTCGCAATTCGCCTCCGAAGATTCATTCCGTTTTCCAGCTGTGCTCCGGTGTTCTCGGTAAGTGGAGCAATATTTCTGAGTTGTGTAAGACTGCAAGGGAATGCGGACTCACCTTCCTTGTGAGAAAGTTCACGGCTCTCGCGCTCTATCCATTGTTCAAGTATTGAAACATATTTATTTGTCATTTGTCACTATTTTTTGTCACTATTTTTTTTTTTCCGGATCAATATCGTTATTATATTTGAGATGTTCTGTAATTGTATTACAGTTACACAATTGATTTAATCCATGACAATCTATAATATTAATATTAATTTTATTACTATTTAAACAATTGAGCTTCTTAAATGTGCCAATTGTTGAAACATTGTATTGACCATACCCGAAACCCTAAGGTCTAGTTATCTAAAACCACACATAAGTGACAATAGACCCCACATCGAAACTAAAGGAACAAAAACGGGTTTAGTCAAAATGCTCTTTCTCACAGGTCTCATATCAATATTAAAGGATGCGAATATTAGTTATTAACAACTAAAACGTGTTTAACAACTTTTCCTATTTTTCTCAGACTTCCTTCATTCCCTCTTCTTCTTAGTCCTCAGGACATATCACTCTTACACTTAACTTCTTTTAGTCACATTCCTGTCAGGATACCTTCATATAATTTATTATAATTTATATAATTCATTGTAATTAACATGTAATCATAAGCAAAAGTGCTGTTTTTAAAGTATTCACTGCGATTCATTAAAAGTAGGAAATCAGAAAATTCGTGATTTCAAATAAAAATCAAACATTCAGACTCACACTCTTGCCATGAAACCTAGATTCATGATCTTGTTATCATACTCTTACAATTATGTTATAATTCACTACATAAGATGTAATCTCATCTTACATGTAATAAGTTATAATGTAATAAGATGTAATAAGTAACTATCATTATTAACAAGATTATTGTTTCTAAAGCGTTCTCTGCGATTCGTTAACAGTAGGAAATTAGAAAACTTGTAATTTCAAATAAAAATCAAACATCTTTTGATTTCTCTTTGTTTTGAAATATATTTACTTGCATTTTAAATTCAGGGATTATTGATATGTTACTTAACCGCTAGATATGAGCATTAATTAAATTAAACAATCTCAGATGGAATTGAGTTTCATGCTTTGTCGTTGTAGACCTTAGTTAATCTTCAGGAGTTAACTAAGGTGGTCTACAGTGTTTATACAATTAACTATATCTACCTCTCTGTGTGGGTGTGCTATAACTCAAAAAATATAACGGTTATTTTTCAAACCGGTTATTCTTTTTACCAGATCAAACAAATTGAAAATTATTCCGAGAGTTGGTACTTTAGTCGTTATATATATTTTTAAGACGATAATGCTGAAAAAAATATATAAATTAGTATATATTATTTAATCTGCTTGTGAATGTATGAAAAGTATTTTGCAAGTCTTATGCAATTGCTACTTTACTGTACAGGCTTTTCCTTTGTATCATTTATTAATATATATTTTTTTATATAACGGACTGAATTAATAATATAATACTATCGATTTCTCTTGGAGCTATAAATAATTTTTTAAAAACTTTCAATTTTTATGTTGTTTTTTAAAAATAAATTATATTGCAAAAGAGGGAGAATTTAATCACCTAAAATCGACTTTTCAATTTAAAATTTTTAAAACAATTTATTCTCTTCTTTTGTTGTGCTTCTAAAGCATCCATTTTTCTCGTTGCTCTGTTACAATGTTACTTTTCAAGGACTGTCTGTTCATGTTTAAATTAAGCAATGTTTAATTTATAAATCCATAAATAATCATAACATAAAAATAATAATGTATTTTTTTAATAATTTCTTGCTTCTGAAAATTATTCTGTTTCTATATCATGTAAATTTAATGTGTTTTCTTATCACTCATTTTTAGACTTTTTTTCCTATTAAATCTACACTTAAATATCTCCTTAAAGTAATATTTAATAAGAATATCAGTTAATAATAATAAATATTTTCAAACCATTTTTATCAGATTATTTAAATTTATGTATATAATTTTATTGAAAGAATGAGTCTTCTGTTTTATAGTAAGGAACTGAAAGATACTTACTTCTCTGACATAAGGAACTTTTTAACACTTGACAGTTTTAATTCATCATTTTAATTTTGATGCTGAACCGATCACTGTTTGTTTTTTTCGTTCGCTGATTTGCTTTTTGTTAAGATGTCCAACAGGCTTTTAGATTAGTCTGAGTGATGATTATAATCATTTGCAGACCCTAAAATGCTAACTCTCCGTGTTGTTTCGAAAGTGTTGTTTACAGATAGTTAAGGGCACTCCTAGAATGGTCCAGGCTACCTGCTCGTCATCCGGAGGGAAGGACGACATAAATCACTAGGGCCTTCCCTTCCTAAGGGTGCCCAAGCTATGGATTACCAATAGCAAAATAAGGCATTCCTCTAACGAGGGGCAAGTGCATGGGTGTTCTTATGTTGTGTTTTCCATTGAAATTTTTATTATACATTTATTCAAAGGAGTTATTTAAAAGAGTTCATTCTGCTTCAAAAGTGCAACTAAGTTGCTGATCGAACTGACAAACATCCATTTAATCCATTAAAATCACCCATGACTAATATTTGTGGAAGTATTTTAATTCTGAAATCTATTGTTAATCTTTATATATTAATTCCGAATATCTTCGTTATGAATGAGAAAATATTTATGAAGAAAAGGAAACTTAGTGCATAACTTAAAAAAGATTGAGCCAATTGTAATTAATACTCGTTTTGGTTCTATTATTCTGAAAGAACTTTTTTTCCCCTCTCCTTCCTCACCTGTTCGGTTTTTCAAGTTTTTCGTAGGTCAGGGGAGAGAGCGGAGAATTAAGATCAGACTTAAAAGCTCAAAGGGCAGCGGAATTCGAACTCGAAATCTTAGCTTTATTGAGGTATTTTGAACATGCATTAGCCCGCTCGTCCCCCCTCTCTTCTTATTATTCTGAACGAACTAATGAACCAAGGAAAAATTATAAGAAATAATTATTCCATCTTTTTTTAATACCAATAATTTACTTATTTCCAAGTTATATTTCCGTTTGTTCTTTGACGAACATACTTTGCGAATTATTTGCACTGGCTGGTTAGAATCAAGTTAAAAGAAAGAAATTAACAAAATAAGTAAATAAATTACATTTATGTTTCAAAAATAGAAGTTTCAAAATGCTATCGAAAATAGCAGTCCCTTAGAATTTTTGATTATTAGGGTCAAATATGATTATAAAAACCTTGGATTTAAATTAGATCTACAATTAATTTTTATGTTTATGCCTTTAACCATTTTACTATTTTATAATTTATCTTATTTTAAAATTCAGCATTAATTGGATCGGAAATAATTTAAAGATTTAGTTTGTAGTAGAAAAAAGTTCAACTAAGCATATTTGACCTTAACTGCGAATTCAAGTATAAGATATTAACTGGATTTTATTTACGGATATATGACATTACATGAACATTTTGCACACATATCAATTTATTTGGGGATAAAAATGCTTACTTAATTAACATTGAATTGTAATTAAAAATTATAGGCTCTAGGTAAAAAGTTTTAACTGCCATTCGAAATTCCCATTCACTACATTCACGGACTATTCTCTTTAGCCTTCATGAAATGGCAACATTAATTCCACTCTCCTATCAAACAATCCAACCAATTTTCCAGAAATAAACAGTAGTCCTTGTAAATAAAATTACATCCTGGTTCTTTCACATTAAATGTAGCCGTAAACATAAACTCGTTGTTAGTGTTTGATGATATGCTTGGATCCATATATTGGATGCATATATCCCATGTATGCTTGGATCGCTATCATTTCTACTCATTGCACTTAAATATAGCAGGCAGTTTTTTTTTCATTGTTTTTTTAAAATAATGATAACTATTCCGGAAGACGAAAACACTACCTATATATAAAATTATGTTTAAATGTTCCTTAAGGCCTGTCAAATAAAAAAAAAAAACTGTTTTACAGGTACAATAATGTTATCAGGGATACATTTTTAATATTTTTTTCTCGACATGTACTTACCGTTAATAGCCGTACGTACATTATAAAAGATAATGTATTCCGATTGTTTACTCCATATAAATAAATACAGACACACGAGAAATTTTTTTATTTTTCATTTTGAGAAGCTTTAGCCTAAGTAAAGTCTCCTCTCCTGTAGATTCGATAGTAGTGGCTGATTGTGATGTTCGATAATAAATAATAATAATAAGGCTTAGCGAACCCGAAGGTTCGATGCCGACACCACCAATCGCTTGTTACACACCTCCCTCCACCGTTCGCCGTCCAAACCCAGTCCCTTCAGATCGGCTTTAATGCAATCTTCCCACCTTCGCTTCGGTCTACCCCTCGGACGCTTACCATTCGGCACAGCAAATATTAACCTTTTAGGAATTCTCTCGTTACTAAGCCCAACAACTTTACAAGCCCATTTGATTCGCCGCGATGAAATTACCTCAATTATTTTACCCGGATACATCTCACGCAATTCGGCGTTGTGTAACCGTCTGAACTCTCCGGTTAACTCATCCTTCTTCGGTCCGAATATTCTACGCAATACTTTATTTTCAAAAACCTTAAGACGCTGCTCATCCCTTAATGTAAGCGGCCAAGTTTCGCATCCATAAAGAACTGTAGGCAAGATAATTGTTTTATAGATTCTAATTTTTAAGTTTCGGGACAAGAGGCGCGAACTAAGTAGTTTTGTCACAGAAAAATAACAAGCATTTCCCGCCTTCAGTATAACCTTAATCTCTTCTTCAATTTCGTTTTTTCTAGTTATCGTAGAACCTAGATACCTAAATTTATCTACCGTTCGATAATAAAACCTTATAGATAAAAAAATAATGAATTATAATTTAGTTCAACTTTAATCTAATGTTTATATTGTTACTTTTTCTATTTTTGTTCTTATATATGTCTACTCTCATCTGCTAACCGATTCTTATGGGGCGAACCATTAGCTATGGAATTTCCGTTTCACCCCGGAAACGCATAATGGCAGACTGTCGTTCCTCTCCTATTAGGCCTTTTTTTTCTCCTCTTCTTCTTCATTTTCAGTAGTTTTTAGATTTTTTTTTTCGTTTTGTAGAACGAAAATAGATTTCGATCAGTCTGATGAACGTTAAACAAAACTCAATGATTTGATTCGATATTAGATAACAATCCAATCCTGAATTCATCTGTTTTTCCTTTCTTTTACTTTATCCTTTTTGGAATTGTTTTGTTGGAATCTTTATTTAATTTAATGTTTTAAATTTCAGTTCATATAGGTAAATATTTATTTATAGATACTTGTAACATTTTGTATTTATGTAATGGTTATAGCCACATTCTTTTTAAAACCTCTATGACTCATTTTTTTAATCAGTTCCTTTGAATTATTCAAGTTTTTATTATTATTATTATTTCAGTAATTATTTTAAAATGAAACAATGTTTTGTTGAGTAACGAAAAGTAAAGTAATACAATTTGTAGTTATGCCCCGAGTTATTATGTCATTTATTCTGGATTTTTTCCTCCAAAGGTCGGTATACATATTGTTGCTGATATTTCATCTTCACCTTTCTGGGAACATTTCCTTGATGAAGTCCTCTCAAAGGTAATATTTGAAAGTGATTTCGGGGGAAAACTTACGAAATTGTTAAGAAAGAATTTTCATATTTTTTAAGAATTTTTATGTTTTATTATTTTAATATGATAAGATGTTAAGAAAATAACCTTACGTTAGTTATGTAATATAAGCTTATTAGGCTGTTTGATGTAAGTTGAGTGTTAGCTAGATTGGTTATGCGTTATGGTATACCTGACACGCCTGCTAATTAATATTTAGATTAAAACTTGTAATTTGAAACAAAAATGGTCAATGTCCAACATTTGGATATTCTAAATTTGCCTGAGTTGCACGAAATAAATTAGGTAGGATATATATTAATTCTTTTGGCACCCTGTTATTAGTTTTAAAAACCTGTACCACTAAAGCCCATGAATGGTTTGGGATACACTACATTGGAAGGAAGTATTGTCATTGGTTGTGCTAAGATCACGCTCAATCGCTAGATTTTTCCTCTAAATCAATTATATAATTAATTGTGGTTTGTTGGTTGACTGTAGTGAATAATTGTAAAGAAGGATGGTTGGGGTGATCAGTCTAAATAAATATTGCAAAAATGAAAATTATTTTTTATTTTGACTGATCACCACAATCCTCCATCCACAATTTATTGCAATGCTAGTGAAACTAGCCATCAGTGTTAAGAAAATGTCACGGCCAGTGAAGACTGTTTCTGGTGAGAATTTGGCTCAGGTCATAGCTTGACGAGGTGAGAAGAAGAGTGTGCTGGGAAGATGTTGGCAGTCCTAAAAACATTCTAATACTTTCAAGCAAGATTTGTCCCTAATGACAAGGCCAATGTTTTTAGTTTAGTTTATATTACAGCTCTTAACAGGACTTGACCATTGTTTTAACTGGGATTTAGTTAGGATCTTATTTCGCGTAATTGGTTAAGCCAGAACTTTGATCAATTAAGATTATTTTATTTTATTTAAGTGATTGTTTTTAGTCATACCATTTTGAATATTCCCACTAAGACATTTTTTTTTTATATTACAACAATTGCAATGCAATGGTTATAGTATTTTAACTCATCATTAATAATTTCTAAAAAAAACGAGACTTATTTCTAAACAAAACATACTTAATTGTGTTTCATTTTATGTAAATAAATTTGTTTAAAAGGTATTAATAGCATGCTCTGTCTTCAGCAAAACGTCTGTATTTTCATTATTGTATTGCAGAAAACTGAATTCCGAAATTCTTATTAATGTTGGTGGTTTCATTTTATTTTTTTAAACTAACAGTGATTTTATATTAATAAAACACATGTTTGATTTGCTATAAGTGTCTTTAATTACCTTATTTACATGATGGTAATTAGTAATTATTTAATTATCTGTTAATATTTTAATAATATTTTAATTTTATTATAACTAAACATTCCACGATTTAGTCTGAATATTAGGTTTCACCCCTAAATAATCCTCGAAACTCAACTTTACGACCTGCCATTTCGTTTAAAAATTACGACTGATTAGAGATTTCATACTTCTATATATCATCCATTTATGAACATAAATAAAAAATATAGTGTTTTGAGTCATTAAATATAAAGCAATAATAAAATGAAAAAAAAAAGAAAAACACCGATGCCTATTCGCTTAAGTGGGAACCTTACGCTCATAATAACAGCATAATAGTCTAACAAAATGTTTTCTATTGAGAGTAGATACAAAACTGCTTAAGCGATTTTGATGAAATTTGTCTGAAATCTTCTTAACTTAATTTTTCTGTTGGCTTTCTATACCTCGTGGATTTTGG